GTCAGCCTCAGCAGATCGCCGCTCACACTGAGTCTTGTTCTGATTATGATGGAGGTTTCTTCCTGTTCAAAGGGAGTTTCCCTCTCCACTGTCACTACAAGCATGCTTGGTGTGAGGGATTGCTGAAGAGTCAATGACTCGATGCAATCAACTGGTTTTTCTTAGATAGAAAACTGAACAAATCTGACAGGATGATCTGGTTAAATTGTCTCTGTAAAGAGCCTTGGAATGACATTTGTTGTGAATTGGTGCTATATAAATAAATTTAACTGAATTTAACATAAAAAATGGAGGATATCATAAATTGCCTTTTAAAATTGTAAACTAAAATATTTCCCTTTAAATGTGTTCATTTAAGAATACTTTTGATAATTAAATGTTGGGAATAATGTTGTAAAAAGAAAAAACTGTTGCTGCCCAGGCTTTGCAGCATGGTGAACAGTTGATACCCTGGCATTCATAGTGGCGCATAGTTTTCTTGAAGGTGTTACTGCAGCTCCTCTGCACCCAGGAGGCTTCATCAGCCTCATTCAGACACAGCCCCGGAGAGAAAACCAGCCGTTACAGGAAGGTGTTGGCGGCGCTGATGGCACCGCTGGAGCTGCAGCTCAGGCTGTCAGAGTCGCAGGAACTATTTTACACGCCCTGCCAGTGAGCCATGCATGAATATGTATGGCGGAGAAGCAGAAGTCATAACCTATGCAAGGTTTCATCATGCATAATGCAGCTGATCTACGCCTCTCCAGGATGCGAATGCACACAGACACACTCTACGTTCACAGCTGTATCGTGTTGACGAGGAGAAAACAAACTCCACAGCCCCCGAAATGATTCAAATTCACACATTTTCCTACAATTCCAAAGGAAATGTGCCCAACCGAAGACAAAACATCCTCATGCTTATCTCCTCTCACAAATTTCGACCTAAAAATGATGTCCAACACATCAATAGGTCTGGACGCAAAAGGTCAAATCTAGAATTTGATTTCTGCACGTAGATTAGCAGCGTGAGCTGTCAGGAAAATCTCTCTCCTCTTTTCCCCCCCGCTCTGTTTTATAACCAGCTTCATTTTCAGTTTTTTTCCCTCTTTGCTTGGCCTGCCATCTCGCCATCACTCATCCGTCTGCTGTTTTCAGGACAGAAAGTTGTGTTTTGATTTGGGTGGCAACTATGTATGGGAGGATAACCTGGAGCAGGGTGAGGGAAGGGAGTCGATGTGGGGGAATGCAGACAGGTGTAAACATGTATGTGTGTTGGAGGGGGTCCGAAATGACGGCAGCAGTAAGTTGGAAGGTCGCTGAAGTTGGATCTGATCAATGGGGGGGCTTCTCTCTATTCCCCTCCCTTGTCCCCAGCAATCTGTTCCCCCAAAATCTT